TGAACTCCTCGACTATTTCTGGATTATCATCACAAAATTTTTGGACCTGCCACTTCTGCTTGATCCCATTGGAAAAGTGTTTAATCACTTCCCTGGGGATATTATCATAGACTTGGGCTCGTAGTTCAGCAAAGCGGCGGTAGTACTCCTAGAAGGTTTCATCTAATTTTCTATTTGCATGTTCTGAGCTCGATCTGAGTGCTTGGATGGGTAAGGACTCCACAGAAGTTTTCATAGGACTTGCGTGGAGTTGCTCCCAGGTGTCGATCGAGTTAGGGTGCAACTTGTCAAACTAGGCGAGTGGCACAGACTCGAGTGCCATGGGAAAATATAGAGTCTTGAGGTCATCATCACCACCAGCCAATTCTACTGACTGAGAGTATATGCGAAGACATTGATTGGGCTCTGTCTTCCCATCATACTTGGAGTGATTAGATGGCTTGAATTTGCAAGGTAGTCAGACTCGAAGGAGACAGTTTGAGAAACATGGGAACCTATCGAGGGAGATACTGGCTACCCAGTGCTCGGATTTGCCTTCGCCTTCCCTGTTGTGGTGGTAATGCCCGAGATGGCAGTAGGTTGACTGTGCTGCACCTTGATCCCTGTTCCGGTTGCCCTGTGGCCTAAGGCATGATAGAGCTGGACTCACTGCGTGGGCCCTTGTCGAGAGTTGGCGGGGAGGCGATGATCTGACCCTCAAGACGGGTTGGTTGGAGGTCGGTGATCTGGCCCTCGAGAAGGGTTGGCAGCTGAGGCTGCTCTTGCCCCCTGCATCTGTAGGGTTGTGGATTCCAGATAACTTTGAGGCGTTGTTGGTCCTTGGTTAGGTTCTGAATAGCATCCAGCCCTATTGCTAGAGTGTAAACATTGGCGTAGGTGTAGTGAAAACCCTATGGCCAACAACTTCCATGAAGTCAGCATCGAGGATACGTGAGGTAGATGCCCTAAAGTTATCACATTCTCGATGTTACTGATTCGTTTCTTGATCTCGTTGGCGCTGTTAAGCATTAGCCTCTATGGCTAAGCGCTGTAGTTCAACTTTGCGGCAGGCTGACTAGTACCGCTCCCACTCTTCCTTGTGGTGTTGGGCTCAGTTATTGTGGGCCTATCATGCTTTGTTCTTCTTCTCCCTAGTCATCTTCTGCTCGTCTTTCTCATTTTTGGGTACCGCGGCATCTGGCGAGATGTTATACAAAGTCTCTTCTCCATCTTGGATATCAAGAGCTTGAGGTATAGGGATCTAAGGAGGCTGTCTAGCCATGAAGACTTCTCTAGAATGCCTTATGGTAGTATGGGTCCCAGACTCTATAGTCATCGCGCTGCTTAAGATCTCCTTGGAGCCATCATCGTCGTGAGATGGAAGAGTGTTGTCGTCCTGATAAGGCAGGAGCTCTACCATGCTGATTAGGCAAGAGGGGTCCAATGATGTAGTGTAGGGTCGGGTACCTAGCCAATGAATGATGCCTCCTTTGGGTGTGATGGACAAGAGCAAACCCTTCTGGGCACCTGACAATGGGATCTCCTACTCTGACTACAAGAGGTGGTTGATCATATCTTGGTAGATCGATGTTGAATTCATGAGTCCATGTGGAAAACAACTTGGGTCTTCGATGTGAACATCAGATGAGATCTCCAACCCAGATAGATCGCTCGTGTTTGAGTAGGAGTCTTGATTCTCCACGGCCTTTTGATTTTGAGTTGGATCGGAAATCGAAAGGTGTGAAAATTTCTCGACGAAAAGATCCAACGAAGCTATCAAAGTTGCTAGAGAAGCTTGAGGCGCCGTTATCTCCATGAGGTAACTCTAGAGCTGGCCATGGTTGTCGACCGTGTAGATCCAAGAGCCGAAGACAAAGGTGGATCCCGTCGGAAAAATCATGTTGTCGAGGTCCGTCGAGCTCTTGATCGCGAAGTCATCAAAAGCCCCTACCTAGCGCGCCAGCTATCGGTGTTTGATGACCGGAAACTCGTCACAAGGTTACCTAGAATGATGATTGGTGGGCTTCAACGTACACTAAACCTAACAGTGAACGCAGAAAGACAACAATTTATACTGGTTCGGGCCCTCGTAATCGAGTAATTGCCTTTACGTCCAGTCGATGTGATACCTTTTGCATTGGATTGATTAGTATGATTGTATATACAAGGGGCTGCACCGTACCTCTCTTTAGGGTAGAGGGTACATAGGAGCACATATCTATTCTGAGTCAGTTACAACAGAAGAGTCCTAGTCCTATTATAGAATGTAGCTTTCTTGGTAAACCGACTAAGTTGATCTTGAATAGCTTGAAGACCATGCCACTTTGCCTCGTGTCCTTCAACAGATCGTGGGCCAGCCCAGGGCCCAGCCGAGTGGTTGACCCTATGGGGAACCCCCAGGACCTAGATCCGTCAAAACCAACACAAATAGAGGTAATGAAATTAAAGTATTGAACATACCTAACTCAGACATTAGGGGTGCAAAGCATTTGGTGGCAAAGACATCCATAATCGAAGTGGTTGAGATGGCTAGTACATAGTTATTGGGAAACCAGAAATCTGGAAGTTGTATTGTTTTAGATGCCTTACAAAAGGAAATGTGATAGAGGAGTGCAACGAAACACTCAACTGTGATGCATATGGTGACAATCATGCTTCTAAGTAGCATTGAGTTCTTCAATTACCTTCAGGGCCTAATTATCTTTAGATTTGTTTTTAAAACCTCTCTTGTTCACGAAGCAAGTCAATTAGGTTCTCTTCATCATTGGAGGAGTCATCACTTACATTGCTTTTCTTGCCTCTAGCAATGGGCCATGTAGGTGATAACTTGGCAAAGAGGCTTGGCTTGTGGGGCAGGTGGTTAAGTCTTTGCTTTACTCATCACTTGAATTTGAGCTTGTGTCTTCATGACTGACCCATTCTTGAATAGTCATGAAAACCTCATGTCTCCTCCTTCATTGGCTCCTCGGCCCTCCTCAAAACTCTAATTACTCCCTTTGGCTCAATTTGAGTTGAGTATCCATCCTCCAAAGTGTCCATACATGATAGGCTATCTCATTGGCTTTTAGATTTCTCTTGGAAACTCATCTTCACTTGAGGAGCTTAAGGTTGTTTCTTCATCATCTCTATCTTCTTTTCTTGATCAGCTAGGTTCTTGATGCCTTGTCTTCTTCTTGCTCTTGTGCTTGCTAGTAGTGGCTAAGCTCTTAATGCTTGGTGTTGGTGAAGAAGGGTTCTTGATGTCTATTCTAAGCTCATGAGAAATTATCTTGTTGATGACTATATTAGGTGTCATCTCATCAAGCTTTTTTCATGAAGAATAAAGACGTCATCATGTTGTACTCCAGCTTTTGAAGAGCTTGAATGATCTTCCGGTTGTACTCATCATCAACAATGCCCTTCACACCTAAAGCATTGATTTTACTGATAAGAACATTTAAGCATGAGAACATATCATGTGCATTCTTGTGTTTTGCTGTTTAAAGCTATTGAGTTTTTCAATGAGAATAGGATATTTTTCATTTTGCATTTCATTGATACCTCCATGGTTCTCATGCTGAACCCTACATTAAATGTTGTGGCGAGGAACATTCTCTGGACATCTCTATTCTTCAATCATCTCGCATATGTGATTTTCCTACCACCGGGTCACCTAGCACAATCTTCTTCTACGCACTTAGCTTCTTTTTATTCTGTTTTTTCAACGGTGTGCAGGTCGGAGTGCAGCCCTCCGACGACGTGGGCCGTCCAGGGCATGACCCTTGGGGCGGCCTGTGCAAACCAGGGCGCGCCCCTTTGGCGACGTGGCAGGCCAGTGCTCGGCCATCCAGCAGCGCACCCCTCTGGCATGACTATGACGACTCAGCGAGCAAGACACAATTCTCCAGTGGCGCGTGTGGGCCAGGGCGAACCCCTATGGTGTTGCAATGGGCAAGGCGGACCCGATTCAAGATTTGTGGCCTCTGACTCGTTTCATGGGTAACTGAAATCACCTCATCCTCCTCACTGCTCCATGTGTAGATCCCCTTCTTTGTTTCTGAGATGGCGGTGCATGCAGGACAGCGAGTCGGCGACGATGACGACGCAAGACGGTGGCTGGTGCTGCTGTGGTGGCGGGCTCGGCAAGCTTGGGGCTGCCTTCTGTTTTCTTCGTTGTGAGTGCCGGTTTATTGCATCAGCCGGTGATGTATTTTGTTGTCACAGGTTCACAGCCTATTTGAAATCTGTGGTGATAAAGATTAACATCACCGTCTACTTTCACCACCAGAGGCTAATAACACCGTTAGTGATGACCTATTTGAAACGGGCAGTGATATTTATTGTGTAGTAGTGATCCTTGCAGGCTTATTAGTGTTCACTATGCCACTGAGTTTGAATTTGTCTTTAATCCTTACCCGGTTTGTGAGTAATGAGCCGGAGGCAGGGATGAAAACATTCGGAATATATCCCGTACCATCCCGCATCGTTTTCTATATTTGATCTGCTTGAATTCGTATTTTTGGACAAATCCAAAATAGGTACAAAATACGAGGTGCCAAAATAAAAAACAGGACCGAAACGGTTTAGGTGTTATCCTGACCGTTTTCTATTTTTTAGGTTTTTATTCAGGATAGATATCCATATTGGTTTTTCGTATACCGACTATGTTCGACATAATTCCACTTGAATTAGTTTATTTTTGAAATTCTTGATATTTCGTAAGTTTGTGTTCATTTTCTTTTCCATCTTTACTGTTTTCGCTTTCGTTTTCGTATTCTAACGTAGAAGTAGAAAATAGTTGAGGGTCCCTAGCCGGATGTGGGATCTGTTTGGGTGACCTGCAAAAGTTTTATGCCCAACCACCTGCAAAAGTATAAAATTCCTTTTTTTTAAACAGATCCTAAGGTAGATTCGGTTTAGACGCTCACATACAAACAAGAATAGTGTTTATTTCAAGAAAAGTTTTATGATATGCGATTGAGGCCGACAGACAATGCTACACTTGGTTCCCTTGCTGCTCATGGCTACGGGCCTAGTACGGGCTAGGACGACGGCAGTATGTGTCCGAACCAGGTGCTTTGGCACGGGTAGGTGGAGCAGAAGGTCTGCAGTGCCGTCATGAGCAGCAACGAGACCGAGGCGAGCAGCGTGAGTATCTTCCACGACCCGAACACGTACTTCTTGAGCAGCTTCTGCGCCCGCGCCGACGCCGTCTTGTCCCGGTGCGCGTTGACGGCCTTTATGACGGCGTCCAGGCGCGGCACCCTGCTGACCCGCGTGGCCCGGCACATCCCGTTCCACATGCTCGCCGCCTCCGCCTTGTTCTTCATGCGGTTCACCACCACGCCGCTCTGCTGCAGGATCTTGACGTCCTTGGCCGTGTCGACGATGCCGTTCATCAGCTCCGTGTAGCGCGCGAGCACCAGCGGCCCTTGCACGGCGACCGCCTCGTAGGCCATCAGGTTGCGCAGGACCACCTCGGTGTTGCTGTCCAGCACGATGACGGGGAGGCTCAGCGTCGCCGTCTTCTCGTCGAAGGCGACCCCCGCGATGCCCTCCGGCGACGGCAGGAACCGGACGCCGCACCCGGCCAGCTGCGTCACCGACGGGATCTTGATCTCCTGCGCCAGCGGCGAGTCGACGATGTTCGTCCCCATGTTCACGTCCTTGAGGCGCGCCTTCATGTCCACGGATGCGATCATCTTGCCGACGACCGGCAGCAGCCCGGAGAGCGCGGGCGGCATCTTTCGGACGAGCTGCCCCGAGAGGTTCTTCGGGCGGGAGATGAGGTTCTCCTTCACGAACCGCATGCTGGACACCTGCAGGCACGCCCGCTTCACCTTGTCGTACTCCGCCGGGATCTGCTTCTCCAGGTCTCCGCCGTCGTCGGCCTGGTCATGCTCCAGAGCTGGTGGTGGAATGTCCTGGCCGCTGTTGTCGTCGAAGACGGCCGTGGTCGGGACAAGGAAGTGGTAGAGGAGCTCGAGAAGGTGCGCTTGCTTGGTGAAGTCGGGGACGGCCGTGGAGGCATAGGTCTTGATGGGGCACACGTCCTTGATGAAGCGGTCGAGGACGGCGCGCAGCACGTCGGCGGCGGCCTGCTCAGAGGCGTAGCGGAGCTCCAGGTTCCTGAAGAAGAGCACGAGCGGGATCTGGTTCTCCAGCATCATGGCGTCGCGCAACGTTGCGTTGATCCAGTTGTCGCCGAGGATACTACCGTGTCCGTGGCCACCTCGTCCTGTTGGTAACGACCAAGGAGGAAGTCGAGTAGGAAGCACGTGTCGACGGCCATCATCCATGCCAGCGTCTCATTACTGAGCTCCAGGATCCTGCAGATCAGGTGATGAATGAGAGTGCCCAGCCCAGCGGCCTGTGTACACTGAACATGCATGCATGTTTCGTGTACCTACCTGTGGTATGGCCCTCGAATCTCGCCCTGGAGTGTGAGGAAGCGGTAAACGAGGTCGGGGATCTTGTGGTCGCCGGCGAAGAGCCGCTCGGCGCGCTTGGCGGCGGCGAGCTTGTAGCGCTCCATGTCCTTTAGGTCGGGGCGGGACTGGTGGTAGGGGCCGAGGGCGAAGTGCTGCGGCGCGTACGCGTCGGGCTTGGTGTCGCGCAGGGCGCGCGGGACGTCGAACACCTTGGGGAACGCGCCCAGCGACTCGGCCGACGCGTGCTCCAGTGCCTCCCGCACCCGGCACAGCCACCGCATCTCCTCGTTGAACTGCACGCCGGCGCTCGCCGCCGCGGCCTGCACGTACCTCGCCCGCGCCTGCGGCACCTCCGACGACGACGACGACGGCTGCGCCATCTAGCTCTAACTAGACCCCCTGTTGTATGTACCACACGTGCTTATCGTCCTAGCTTAGTGGCTGCGCACTTGTCCGGCCAGTCATATATCCTGGACACATAATCGAGCCACGCTCGTGAATCACGGTGTGCACATACATACAACAGCACGTCTCTATTCACCATTCACTTTCGCACTTTTTTTAGAATAGAATAATACGTGGACGGACTAATCTCGTCCACACACTAATTTGGTTCCCTTTAGAAAAAGACCAAACATACAAGATGCTCTTAGATGCATGTCATATGCACACTTGCAAAAGATTCTCGATTGCAGGAGCACGGAAACACCCCTAGTTGCTTATATGGTCGTGCCCGTTCAGACTGCAGCCATGGCTGTGTACTTGTTTTACAAACTCGCTTCTCAACCTTTCTTCTTTGCCAACACCGATAGGCACGTTCAAGGAGTTTCTCAGGGCAAAAAAATGCTTAATTCTCACATCCCTAAGAGTTTACACTCACGTGAAAATAATTTCACCTTTCAGTTCTGGATGTTTTCCGCAAGAGCTTGGCCTATAGCAGTAACAAAAATGAACTTATCAGCATGGTTTATCAGCTATGGAACAATGTTTTTCTCTCACAACAAATCAACGAAGTACTTTTCAGCCTGTCTTTTCAGCGAAGGGAACAGGGCCGTTCCTCTTGGGTTTTTGTGCGAATCAGTACAACGCAGTTAGGTGGACATGGATAGATGTACATACACTTACTCCTATGAACGAACGGTAGTACCTTTATGTGCATCTTTGAATGACCAAGACTGAATTAGTAGATTTCGAGATTGACAAAGTCATCATAATCACTTTCACTATCGACGGAGACAACGCTTAAATTCTAGAATAAATTAAGAAAAATACGAGTATTTGACAAAATAAAATTATTTAATATGTTAGTTTCTTATGTTTAAATAAACTTGAGCAAATGGGAATTTCTTGTGATTTGGTTGGCAGGGAAAACCCCTCAAAAAATATGTTCTTGTGGAAAACTGATAGGCAATTATATTTTCTGTGTCATTTATCACTCATGGTGTTTTGCCTACGAATACGACAGAAACACACAAAGAAGATGTACACATCAGTGGCACAAAAACAAGAAGCATCACAGATGATAAATTAGAGACATGTGTCTATATACCATGCGTCTGTGTATCATTTGCCTAGGCCACATGACAATGATACACGCTCTAATGTTCACATATGAGAGACTAGTGTATTACTGCAGTTAAGCAAGGAAGGTAATATTTATGTGCTTTGAGAAGATAGTCGAGATAGAGTATATGTAGGTGCATTTATTGTTTTTTTTTAGAAAGGAAGATTTTATTAAATCTTCAGGCGTATTACATCTAGTTGATACAAAACCTTGAAAATAATTCTTTTAGCCTCTGTCTGACAAGAAGCACACAACCAATTAAAAGAGGGAACCACAAACAATCTAGTGACTATCAATCCCTAGACTAGAATGGCACCCATGTGCCTGGAGAAGATAACCTTGGCCACTTGTGCCAAGTACTATGAAGCCGCCACAACCAAATCATGTGTATGCGGCTTCTAGAGGATAGCCCACGTATGGAGCCAATGAACTATATCATTCCTACATAACCAAATCGACCAACAGGTAGCGGTAGCTCCTAGTAAAACTAAAGGCTTCAGATCTTTACTAATCCCTTCTATCCAATTGCCCAACATATTTGACACCCTACAAGGTTTAGCTAAACCCAAGGCCACCTAAATTATTGAGCAAACTGCCCAGTGAATAGACAATCAAAGAACAAAGTGTCTAATTATCTCTTTGTGACAAAAATAACATATCTTGTTACTTGCAAGTTACGTTTCACTAAACGATCTTTTGTAAGCACTACTTCTTTACATCGATACCATAAGAAAATCTTGAGCTTCAAAGGCGCTTTTATTTTCCATAAGAGTTTATTTAAATTGGACACCTCTAAACGGATCAGGGCATGATAATGTGATTTCATCAAGAATTATCCATTTGGAGTTAGGTTCCAATAAAATACATCAAGCTCATGTCCTAATGTGATGTTCGCAATGCGTGGTAACAAATTATTCCATGCTACTAACTTGGGCCCGATTAGATCCCTACGCCAAAAAAGATTAGGTAGAGATGTGCCGAGGACTTCTGCTATGGTAACCTATCGAGGCAAGGATACTGATCACATAAAAGTTGTATTACCCAGCCATTTATCCTCTCCAAATGGAACCTTTGATCCATCTTTCACAACAAACGACCCAAAGCGAAGGAAATCATGCTTAACTTTCATGAGACTGGACCGGAAATGTAAGTCTCCTACTTTCTAATCAGCTTGTGCTAAAGGATTAGAACCAAAGTACTTATTTCGAAGCAATTGCTGCCACATGTCATCCAATGTGAGAAGCTTGAACAACCATTTGCTAAGCAATGTTGTGTTCTTTATATCTAGGTGTGTATACCATGATCGCCTTGGTCTTTTGGTTGGTATAAGACACTCCATTTAGTGAGGTGATATTTCTTTCTTTGTTAACGCAATATTTGAGGGCAAGAGTGGACTTTTATTCACTTCAAGGGTACTATTGTCTTTACAATTCTCTTGAGCGTAAATCCTCATGAAGGACCGATCAGGGGACAGAAGTGGGGTAAATGGGAGACAATTAAAAAAATTCAACCCAACAGCCTCTCTTCTTATTGTCAGAGTCGCACATCCCAACTCTTGATATCTTGGCCCTAGAAACAATTAGGAATTTCTCAAACGCTGCGGAAACAAAAATAGAAGCACTCAAAATATCCAGCTCACAATCCAACAAGTTGAATAAACGAAGCTTTCTAAAAGATTGCTGAGCAAAAAGAAAATGTCCTTAACCTCCCAACCGTGATTACTACGCTAAGCAAAATGAAGTAATTTAATGCTCCAATGATGATCTAATGATTACTTGAAGTAAAATTCGCTGTTGCAAGAAAAAGACATTCGCCCAAACAAGAACCATGCTGAAGCATCTGATCAAATTAGATCGGACTTGCAACTCGTAGCAGCAGCACGTGAACTGAAAATCAAAGAGCAACTGCTCTCAACAGAGCGCAACGACCAAGCTGCTGTTGTGACTGATTATTGCTGCACTGCTGTAAAACCAGGAAAGCGACTTGATGCTGCAGAACCGAGAAAAGGGAAGATCACAGAGAAACACAAGCCGTGGGACTAGATGAACAATGAAGGTTGATGGTCCGATGGTGTCAAGAAATTCAGCATCGGACTCGCAGCAGCAGGAACAGATAAAAAATACGATCATCGGACTAGAGCAATAGTAGAAACGCACGGTCCATGAGACAAACCAGATACCACACCCAACGATCAAGACTGAGATTAAATTCATATAAAACGAGACACCCTAGAAAGGGAGCATTGGACCGAACCTTGCGCAAAAGAGATAATCAGCAGACGCAGTTTGAAGCACGGGATCCATGAGACAAACCAGAAACTAGATTAAATCAAATCCATCCAAACTCAGATTTTGGACATGGCTTCACAACCAGATACCACACCCAACTATCAAGATTAATATTAAATTCATATAAAACGAGACACCCTAGAAAGGGGGAATTTTGGGAAAAATCATTGAATTGAGGTGCCCGTTAAGAGATTCAACAAATTGGTGATTCAGATACCTCCTCACATGTCCTACACTGATTTCCCCCAAAAATCTGCACCAAAATGGCAGCCAAAAGTGAAGCACGAATTTTCCCAAGAAAATCCTCCAAAAATCCAAAAAAAAGAAAAACGAGAAGAGAACTAGATGAACTTGAATTTGAGAGAAATGATTGCTTTATTCCATACTTAAACGAGGTCAGGCTCTTTGCCAAGTTGCACAGATGGAGGTTTCTATCTCCCTCGCATTGTGGATCTCTCTCAGTTGCAGACTACAGATGGCTACTACAGAGAATGATAACCTAGATGTATAGATGTAGGTAAACTAAAATGGAAGAGATCGCTGGTTGGGGGCAGCCTCTATCTTATTTGTAGAGCTATTACACATTCCCAACACGTCCTTAAATATTTTAGCTAAACCACTTAACCCCATAGCATAATGGGCTCACTTGAGATTCAAGCATCCGATGGCCACAAGCTCTTCACGACTTTGTTTTTTTCTCAACGCAAGCTTCACGATGACTCCATATGCCTCCTCCTATTCCCGTTTGAAGTGCAACCGGTTTTTTAGGCCGAACCCCGAAAACAGTCCAGCTAGCGGTTTTGAGGCTCAAACCACCAAACCGCCTGAAGAAGCGTATCCGCTATGCCTCCTCCACGATTTCGACACATGTCACCATACTCCTCGATTGCCTGATTACAAAGTCCTCTAGCGCCTTCGCTTGACTTGGTCATCACGGTCAACTCCTTTGCATGTATTCTTGCTTGTTGATGTCCCCAAGTGTCAGCCACCATGATCAGTCATCTAGCCCTCTTGGCCCCTCAGTCCAAGCCTCCCACGGAGTATCCGCCAACCTGTACAGAGCTAGAACAGAGGCACCTCACCCTAATACCCGGTACAATGGAGCGTCCGTCGCTTAGGATAGAGTGTCTGCTAGTCACTGAGAATGCGAGTTTGATTAGGTAATCTACCCAAGGGGCCAACCGCTACCTAAGGAGCTTAACTACTAAGAATCCAATAGTGGAGCCATAGCTAGAAGTCTCTTCCCAAGTTCATAATCAACTCCGAATCTCTTTATCTATCACGCAACCGTTTTCAATCATCGGATCCTCTCTTTTTAGGTTCGGTTATCTCGTTGTGTGAGGATCGTGTGTGAATCGTCACCACTAACCGGACTTTCAGGAATCAGCAGCATTATCAGGCAGGCACCCCACTACTATAAACCCTATATTGGATACTTATTGAGTTTCATTATGAGTTATACATTTCACGTAGACTTAGATAGTAATCTCCTTCACCTTACACTTAGAGTCACTCTTTAACCTATTAGAAGCCTCTCATCTAAACAATGAGATTGGAAACGCTTAATTACTTATTGCTTAGTTGTTCAGCAACGGTAGAAGTCGAGCATGAGAAGGAAACTCATTCTCGCACGTGTAGGATGCTACACTGGGATAATTAATCACTAAAACCAATGGGGATACAACTTGACTTACTTCACTAATTTGGCAAAGGAATAACACCACTAAGGGCTATGAATTTGGACACCACCTTGATATCTTTGCTCATGCGAGGGGTTGGTCATTGTGAGTGTCTCAAGCGACCTAGCTCGTGGAGCAATTAAGGACCATTTATTGGGATATGTGAGTCCAAGTAACCACCCGTATAGACCACATGTCATGGATGGGATCGACAAGCCAAGTAACTAATTGCGACCGGTTTATCCGTGAAACTAGCAAGAGGGTGGCATCGGTCGGGAATGTCCGGGACATTGACCGGGCATCAGTCAAACCTTTCATGAGACACTTAGACCGGATTAGGGAAAGGTTCGAGAACATGAGGCAACCCTTACCAGGGCATGGGTATGGTGGTTTGTCCCGGTCTCCATGTGACTACAGTAGTACACCTCTGCAGAGTTTGAAAGCGTGAAGTCTTTTGGAACAGAACCATTCGATTGTTTTTATTTTCTATGCCCATGGTAGCGTTGTTAAGGGACTATGAGCATCTTGATTTATAAATGGTATATGACCACTCTTGTTCTAGTATTGGATTAGGGAATGACATACTTATAATAAACGCCATCGTTTTTCTGCAAATGTACAAATGTCTGATAATCATCTTGTATCCACCAAATATTTATGTGTTGGTATTATGTCCTGCGAGTACGCAATGTTCTCATGGCACTATCGTTAAGTTGTTTGTAGGTACATGATAGAACGGGTAGAGCCACGGCTCTAACCACCGCTGCATACTAGCACTTGGAATGGGCGTTCCGATTGTGCTGCAAGTTAACTCCGAAGTTCATGTATGAGCGACCATGAGTGTCAGCTTTAGTTGGAATGAATACTCATGTCCATGTGTTGGACCGTACTGTGAAATCTATGTAACTTACTTTAAATACATTAATCTTCGAGGTAACAATTGGGTGTTATCCGTCAGTCATGTGTTGTTTTGTTATTTAGATCACTGTATGCCACTCAACCTAATCCTGAAGAGGAGTTGCCGAGTGCGCAACTGGGGGCCTCACGGTGGAAATGCGACAACTCCCGTCGGCCTCGGTCTCGGGGCGCGACAGTGGCCACATAAAGAATAAAAGAATGTCCTAAATAGGAGAAGGCCTATCCTGATGTTGCTATGCTAAGGTTAGCAAATAATCATACAAATACATGGCTAGGACTTAGTTCTAAGCACCCAGTCACCCGAGGAGACCAAACGAGCACTGGTTTACCAGCAAGCGCGTAAGGCAATTTAGACTCCTACACTATACCCGAACGTGGGGGTTACAAGGGACAAACAGGGTTGTCACCACCTGCCGGCTACCCACTCTTCCGTGGAGCATAGTCCTATTCACTGGTTCCCGATATACCCGAGCACCACGCCCATGTATATGGAAACTACCATTGCCCCCTGGGACTCTGACCCTACGGATACCATTACCATGGCTGAGATTGACTAGCCTTTCCATATATATTGTATGAATGGTTTAAGCATAAACGTCTACACACTAAGCTAGCAGCATATGAACTTATCCCTAAACCAAGAACATAACAACATTGATAAGTAGAGAGCAAAGTAATAAAAGAGCTCATGATATTTCTCATACCAAAAGTGCCATTGGATGTCCAAGCTCTCCAAATGTTACTTGCCAAGCTCCAAAACACTACTAAAAAGTAAAAGAGCACAAGTGGGGAGGAGAGAGGCTCAATTGTGTGGTGTGTGTGGAGTGTGAGAGCCTCCCCTCACTTATATACTACTCTAAGGGCGGTTGTAGAAGAGTATTCCGCGGAGATGCGCCCCAAACTGCCATCCAGTAACACCCAGGCTAGGAGTCACCACGTGGAAGGAGGAGGGAGGGCAGTGCACTAGGGGGCGGCCACACCTAGGCTACGCCTCCCCCTAACCGTCCTTCTCTGGTCGGTTGGTTGTTGGGCCTGGTCCGTGTCCCCGTGCGCTTGAGGCTCAGATTCGCCAGGTAGGTGGGCCTTCTCTCTTTTGCTTATTTTGGGTCTGCGTTACGCTTTGTCTGATTGCGCACTTTGATCACATTTTCCACGATTTTCATCTTTGTGTCCTGCAAAACACTTATTCTCCAATCCATGTGGAAATGTGTCAATATAATGACATATGTGTGTAAGTTATGCTAGTTTTCCTCCTTATTTGGCGGTCATATTTGGCCTTTACGGATCGCCAACACACGCATACTCACGTCATGGTTAGTCCGATCATATCCCGACAATTACTCACCACAAACTCGACACATAAGGGCACATATCAACCTTGTGTTCGCACCTAGTCACATCTTGATCTCTTTTTCGGCAGGCTTCATCTTGGCAAAGATCCTGGTCTCTTTCGGATGGCTTGCGTGATCTACCTTCCGAGGGGCTTCGCCTGAAGCTCCGAGTGTCACCTGAAAAGACAAGAGACAAAAGCATGGACACAAGGAGCCACGCCACCTAATTCGCGAAGCGGACCCCAACATAACCCATCGAACAATAAAGATCAGATTGTCTTTTAAAACATAAATTAATTATCATAGAAAGTATCCAAATTTGTCCGAAACTATTACAACTTGCTGAGTTCTCTCGCCCCAACAAAGCATAACTGCAATAATAACATATAATAAAGCATCAAATTCGAATAATAATCCACTAGCAAATATTATTTCGTTGCTACATGCTGTTGCTAGCCGCTTATGTTCTTCTTGCTAATGACCACCTCGAGCATAGCCTCGAGCAGGGACGGAGCTCAGCAGAGGCAAAACTGGGCTCCGGCCCCTGCTTGTCTTCGCAAAATCACGAAGGACTAGTAGTAGCATGCTGATGAAGACTAAAGTAGGTAAAGCCTAGTAGTATCTGGGAAGAGGCAACAGAGAGCAAGAGACGTAGGAGTAGGCAATACTGTAGTGTTTAGCATTGAATTAGCCCCCCTTAATATTGGGTCACGCTCCGCCACTGGCCTCGAGAGTCTCAAGCTTCACTGGGCACAAACACGTCAGCACCAGCTTGCATGAATGCCTCCCGGCCACCAAAATCTGCTGAGACCCCAACAATCTTCACCTCACTAGCTCCCATGGCATGGATCTTGGCCACAACCTGCCAAACAATCCACCAAGAAATTAAATTTTTGTCAGTTGTGTCTTACTTTAATTTTTTATGATGCTTAAGTTTAGATTATATTACTAGGGAAATCAAAAGTCTACCATAAAAAATAACTGAGTTGGTTCATTAGCTTCATATACGCTACATGTTTTTTTTGTTATACTGTAACATAATACAACAAGTGAAATAACTGATAAGTAATACTAGTAAGTTGAAATGCTAGAAGTATCTTTTTTCTATAACTTCTGGAGAAACTTGTGAATAATGTTCACAAAAAATAACAGGAAATAATTATAAATCTACAATATATCAAGTTGAAACATATACCGTACCTCAGGACCCGACATTATGGGCATATCCTTATCTAAGAAAACAATGTCAAATGTTTTCCCTTCAACGAAAAGGTCAACAGCTTCTTTCCCATTCTGAACAGCAGTAGCCTCACAGTTCAGTTTGTGCAACATATGCATGAGAATCACACATTCAATTTTGATATCCTGGACAACTAATGCCCTTGGGGCAGACCCTTGGTTCCTGGATGCCAATTTTAATAGTACTCTTCACTTCCTGATACTATGAAGAAGATTAAGCAAAATCATAATATTCTCTACTTGATTACAGCATCGTACAACATATATTATTTCCAACTCATATCATGTATTAACTGCAAGCATGCTTATATTTTACAGTTGATTAAACTGAATGACATATACATAGATTATTATAGTAGTTCTGAATTAGAATGAATAACATATACATAGATTATTAAGAGCTCCAGCTCCGGTTCCTCAGTGCACTATAGTGAGAAGTTGTGTTTTTCTCTTCTTCTAAAACGAACTAGAAGCCAATGAAACCATTACTTTTAGGATAGCGGCTCCTCCATGCATTGCAGCAAGGAACCAGAGCCGTTTTGAGCCGTGCCATACAAGGCTTAATATTGCAGTATACTAGCTACGACTACGGTCTAGACGAACTATACATATTCTAGAGAAATATAAAAACAAAGAGAAGGAATTAAGGACCAACCTTGACTTCAGATGGTGATGATGCACATGTATCTTTCTTTCTTGGTACTCGACTGCCTCTTTGAGTGTTGCATATCACAGTCGCAGGTCTATTTTATAGGCGAAGCCAAGGTCAAAAGTTTGCCTGCCCAAATCTGAAAGATTTTTTCTATAACTGCTTGAATATAAATGTTAATTGAAAATCTGATACGCCTAATTAATTTGCTCCTCATTCCGAATCAAAATGCAAGATCTCACGCCCCTTGGGTTCCGACACGTGTATATATGGCGTGTAGCTATTGATGAATTCACTCCTAGCTGTTGCGTGTGAATCCGCCATGGCAGCTCAATAGTTTCCTTGAAGCTAGGTTGCTGAATCCAGAAATTTTCAAACCTGAAAAAATAGCTTTTGGAATGCAGCAGTCAATATGAATTACAAAACAAATGTGGTCTGATATTGGCCTGGCCAAAGTCTGAACAAAAGTTCCAGGGTAAGACATATTCCAAGAAACTGAGGAGAAGGCCCAATCCAGTATCACTAGTAGAGGATCTGACTGCATGTTGCTCCAAGTGAAGTTTCTGCCATTAAAGGGTAATTCAACAAGATCCAAACCCAAAATACAGTCATTGAATATTTGCATTTCAGCTAAATCCCCTCCTGGCTTGTTTCTATTCTCAGCTCATCTAATAAGATTGAAATCACCAGCTAATAGCCACTCATCAAAGACAATAGTATCCAGATTAATCAACCAGGTAACAAAAGCCAACTTTTCAGAAGAAACCGATGGACCATAAATGTTGGTAGGATGAAAATCTTTATTGTCTAGTCTATTGTGGAAATTTATAGTTATAGCATAGGCATTGGATTGAATGGTGATGCCATCCAAGATAGAGCTATTCCAAATCATCAAAAGACATTCAGAGGCCCAAATTAAGGGAAAAACTGAAGGTGTCCAAATACCTAGGACAAAACTTTTTCAAGTAAAAGGGATCAAAAGTTTCACGTTTGGTTTCCTGCAAGCACATAATCGGACGAGCACTTTCCTCAATTTTACCACGAAGTGCATCCCATTTTGCTTGAGAATTAATACCTCTAATATTCCAGACCAAGATCTTAGTGGTTATTCTGTTGTGATTCATGACTATGGAAAAGAATAGAACTAGGGGATTGTAGCAACCACATGCTAAATCCAAAGCGAAGATGATCATCACAAGATAAACAAGATGAACAGGAGAAGCTAAAAGCTGACACAAACCACACGAGTAACATAGCAAAATAGATATGATGTAACTTAAACTGGTCTGGATAAAACTTAAAGCTCTCAGGGAGGCATCACAGGTTTGCTCTAACTTTACATTATTGTTTCCACGGCATGCAGGCCGGCAGGGAGAGCTAGGAAAGTTTTTGAACAAAAGAAGCATTGTCATGCTAGTGACCGATGCTGAAACGGTTACATCACATAAGATTGTCATCGTTGACATCCTTGTCCAGGAGAGAAGCAGATGCCACACTAGGGTGGATCTGAAGGTACCCCTCTGCAATACCATGGACAACAACCTTGGTCAGGTGAGGTGATAGAGTGGAGCCTGGGGCAGGAATGATAGCCAGAGGAACTGGTTCAGCTACAGCTTCTTGGGCACTCTTGGCGTCCTTGAATCCTGTAGTCCTCCCAGAGATTCTTTTACTGCGCCTCAGAAATCGATCATCCAGCTGCTCCTTCACCTTGACGTGCCTCCTCTTTCTTGGGGTGAAGTTGGCACCCGAGATTTCCACCAGATCATCTTCCTCCTCCAGAAGCTGCTTCAGGGCCTCCTTTTCCATGGGAGGATCATTAATCTGTGTAGGTAGGAGGAAGACAACATATGGTATTTCCAAATCGTAGTATCATATCATGTATTAACAACAAGCATGTTTATGTTTTACAGTTGATTAGACTGAATAACATCTACATAGATTATTATAGTAGCTCCAAATTAGAATGAATAACATATATGTAGATTATTAAGAGCTCCAGCTCCGGCTACTCCGTGCACTATAGTGAGAAGTTGTTTCTCTCTCTTCTTCTCCTAAAATGAACTAGAAGCCAATAAAACCATTCCTTTTAGGTTAGGGGCTCCTCCATGCATTGCAGCAAGGAACCAGAGCCGTTTTGAGCCATGACATAAAAGGCTTAATACTACAGTATACTAGCTACAACTATGGTCGAACTATACATACTCTAGAGAAAATATAAAAACAAAGAGAAGGAATTAAGGACCAACCATGACTTCAGATGATGATGATGCACACGTATCTTTCTTTCTTGGTACTCGGCTGCCTCTTTGAGTGTTGCATATCACAGTCGCAGGCCCATTTTATAGGCGAAGCCAAGGTCAAAAGTTTGCCTTCCCAAATCTAAAAGATTTTCCTATAACTGGTTGAAAATAAATATGAATTGGAAATATGATACGCCTAATTAATTCGCTCCTCGTTCCGAATCAAAATGCAAGATCTCACGCCGCTTGGGTTCTGACACGTGTATACATGCCGTGTAGCTATTGATGAATTCACTCCTAGCTATTGCATGTGAATTCACCATGGCAATGAGCATGCCGTTGCAAAACGTCGAGAAGAGTGAAGGAGTTCTCGAAACAAAAGAAAAAAATGGTATGGTGATTACATGTTTGCCACATTCAATCCTTTACCGATTTTTGTTCCATATTTTGAGTTGTTGTGATTACATGGTTGTTGTCACTTACGTCAATGTATCACGTCTCACTAGTTTTGCCTTTTCTATAGGACAGGTGTGTGAAACACAAGGAGATTTGTGGAAAGGTTATGTTATGATCGATGATGAATGTAATGAACATCTTAATGTATGACATGTGAGCCTGTTATTTGGTTGTGAATGGAATATATTGACTTTGGCCCATACATGTGTAATTCGATTAGTTTTTGTGGTCATGGGCTATTGAAACAGCACGTGATTTGTGGAAAAATAAATGTGCCATGCAATGGACAAAGAAAAAATGTGGCACATAAAAGGGTTGGGCTTGGCATAATAGAAAATAGAATCATGAAAAAACATATGGGCCAAAAATCATAAACCATAAAATGGGCTAGGCCCAAAAACAAAGCCCTCTAATTGGGCTTGGCCCATTATGTCTTCCTGCCACATGGGCTTTAACAAGCTGCATTTTAGTTTTATGACATTTTGTGACATGACACGCCAATTCAAAGTGCCACATCAACATTTATGACGTTTTTACGATCCCTCGTGGCATGGTGCAAGAATCGTGACAAAAAGAATGTCACAAATATTTGTGATGTTAAAAACTAATGTCATAGATTTGTAACATCAATCAAGTACATAGACATCACAAATCATGGTTTTGGACTCATGGTTTGTGACGAGCATTTCCGTCAACCAGATGTCACAAATCTTGAACTATGACATAAATTTATGATATTATGGTAGGAATGAAATGTTAAAAATGACACATCTCTTGTAGTGTTTGGTATTGAATTATCTGATGAGCCAGAAAAGTCACTTGAGGATGTACCAGAGCCAAAGATGGCTTTGTTTAAAGGAGAGGATGATGAGTCCATGACTTCTCAAATTACTATAACTAATGCAAGTATGGGAAAGTGCATGGATTTTCAAATATTAAGAAGGTAATGCTACAAAAATTGTCCCTGTTGAAATGGCCTAAATGGCTAGAGGGGTGTGAATAGCCTAATTAAAAATCTACAAATCACTAGATCAAGCAATTGGTTAGACAACAATATGGCTATAATACAATTTCGCTCTAGCTCTACAAAGTGTTGCAAACCACCTACAAAATGCTAGTTGCTATGACCTCTGTATCACACAATCAAGAGCTAAGTCACTACCTCTGCAACTAGTGAACAAGCTAGTAAAAGCTAATTACTTAAGTTACACAACTAGGCTACACTAGCAAGCTGCTACTACACAAGACAAGTATGAATCAATGTAATACAAGAGGAGGTAGTGCGATATACCGAACCGGGCAAGAGACAAATCAATCACAAGCATACCAATTGATGATACAAAGATTTATCGCGTGGTTTGGTTGCTTGCCGGCAACTTAGTCCACGTTGTGACGACACATTCACTTGGTGGCTCATGCGCTACTAGACATCACACACCTAACCCAACACTTAGGCGCTGTAAGAACCAACACAAGATGAGGGTGCACAAGTTACGAGCAATCCACTCGAAATACCTTTTACGAATCTCCCGCGGGGAAGGCACGAGAACCCCTCACAATATCACTAATCGGAGATGGAGACAATCAACACCCTCCGCTCAATAATCCCGTTGCTCCAAACCATCTAGGTGATGGCAACCATCAAGTGTAATAAGAATTCCTGTAGCTCACATGATCTCTATTGCCACTAGATGCTCAAACTACTCAAAGCAAATGCAACTAGGATGATTCCCAATCTCACAAATGATGATCAACAAATGAACTAGATGAGTAGGAGGTGTGGGAGTTTGCTCACTATGTGTATCGACGAGTTAGAGAGCAAAGAGAGTGAGTTACACCTGG